GTTACGGCCCTTCAGGCTCGGCAGAATAAAATAAATATAAAAATAATATAGTTAGCTATCTGAGCAGTAACTCGTGAAACACAAATATGAATTACTGACTCAAGTATAACATATAAATGATAATAATAAAAATACAGAAAAACTCACAGTTCGTCGGTGCTCTGCTGGCCAGCCGCTACCCTTGCTAAAAAATAATAATAAATAAGTGTCGATTTGCGACACACACAATAATAATAATTTGGCGATAAGCGCCTACAAGTATAATAATTAAGTGTCGATTTGCGACACGCACAATAATAATAATTTGGCGATTCGCGCCCACAAATACAAAATAGAAATTATAAAATATAAAAAAAAATGATATTCAGCGGCGATTTGCGCACACAAAAAATTACAATAATTAACTATAACAGGCAATTGACGCCTTGTAAACAAAAAAAGATAATATAACTGGCGATTCGCGCACAGCAAAAAAATACAATATATAGTAAGCGTTCACGACGACGGACGGAAGAAGACAAAAAATCACGGCGGCCGTGGTAATTAATAATCACGCCGCCAGCGCGGTGACAACGATAATTAACTTATAATCTACATTGTTATATAATTCACGCGGTACAATTAAACAGAAATAAAACAATATAAATAACAATTACAATAATGTGTTGTGCGCGTGTGTGTATATGAGCCGGTCGGTGGCGAGATATATGGTGATACGGCGGCGACATCCTCCCCCCGTTGAAATTATAAAGTTTCAACTTCTTGCTCTAGTGGGAGCCGACATAATTTACTGACGGGCCTTTGCATTTCAGCTCCAGTAGTGGTACGTAGAGTCACTACACGAATGATACCATCGCCTCCGGGATGCACCTTGATTATTCTTCCTAACTTCCATTTGGTCGGTGGAGAACAATCTTCCTTTATTATTACCACGTCATTTATGGACATTTCCTTTTTTGAGGTCAACCACCGTCCTCTGACTTGAAGCTGCGGCAAATACTCGCTGTACCATCTTCTCCAAAACATCTGCATTAGACCTTGTACAAATTTCCAACGCTTAAAGTGCGCTACTTCATTTTGTGGTATCTCGGGTTCGGCTGGCAACAGTAACGGGCCACCCACTAGGAAGTGTGCTGGTGTGAGGGCATCAGGTTCACATGGGTCACTATTCAATGGAGTCATGGGTCGAGAGTTGACACACGCTTCGATTTGGCACAGCAGGGTTTGTAGCTCTTCGATATTGAGGCGGGTATCCTTGACGACGCGAACTAAATGAGTTTTTACGCTCTTTACTGCGCTTTCCCATAAGCCACCGAAATGAGGGGCTGATGGTGGGTTGAAATGCCATTCTACTCCTTCCCGTGCCATGAGATCTTCAGTGTTCTTCACGTAGTTGGACAGCTCCTTTTGTGCGCCCACGAAGTTTGTTCCGTTATCACTATATATCTTATTACATTTTCCACGTCTGGACATGAAGCGTCGCAATGATGCCATGAATGCGTCGCTTGTGAGCCCAACAACCGCCTCTAGGTGAATTGCTCTGGTCGCAAAACATACAAATACTGCTATCCAGGTTTTTATTGCTGTTACTCTACGTATGCCACTTCGGATAAGTAAGGGTCCTGCGAAATCAACACCTGTTATTGTGAATGGTCTTGAAAATTGCACGCGATTCTTAGGCAAGGGTGCCATTACTGGGTTCTCGAATTTCGGCCTTGAGCGAATACAGGTGACGCAGCGAGATGTCACCGACCGTGCCATTATTCTACCTCGTAGTGGCCAATAACGTTGTCGGACAGCGGCCAAGAGAGCTTGTGGACCACAGTGATGCAAGGCTCTATGTTGGTCCTCAAAGATTAGTCTTGTTACCTTGTGCTTTGAAGGTAATACTATTGGATGCTTTTGGGTCGCAGCAATATCGGCATTCCCAAGTCGCCCTCCAACCAAGATTACTCCATCTTCACTAATAAACGGGCACAAAGTTCTCAGAACACTTCTTTTCTGAATTGACCTTCCTGCAAGGAGGTTCATGAGGTCTATTCCAAATTCGTCGGCTTGCGCACCCTTTATTAGTTTACGTTCTGCTAAGCGGATATTTGATACTGTAAGGTACCGTGGCAAACTGCTTCCTGAAGTTTTGGCTCGCTTGAACTCTATGAATTTTCCTAACCAAGCGATTGCGCGGACAAGCTTAATCCAATCTGAGTATAAGGGTAGCAAATCGCTGGTTATGTTGGTCGTTATTAATGCAAGTCGAATTGGTCTTATCTCAGGCAGGTCTTCTTCTTTAATAATTGATTCAGCTTCGGATTTCCAATTGTGTCCTTCTGTTACCAGCCAACTAGGTCCATTCCACCACTTAGCGCAAGATAATATTTCTGTCGGCCTTAATCCTCTTGATGCCACATCGGCTGGGTTATCCTCACTCCTAATGTGATGCCATTGTTTGATGTCGGTAAGCTCTAGTATCTGATTGATTCGATTGGATACAAACGTTTTTAACCGTGTGGTTTGACTATTCAGCCATCCTAATACTATTGTCGAGTCTGTCCACAGTTGGAATGTACATAGTTCCACAGACCATGACTCGGCGACCTTGTTTGCTAATTCGACTAGCAGCAATGCTCCACTTAACTCTAGTCGAGGTATGGTCCATTCCTTCAGAGGTGCCACTCTTGTCCTCGCACAAAGAAGGTGAGAATTCCACCTTCCTTGATTATCTCTAGTCCTGATATAGATGCAAGCCCCATATGCTTCCTGGGAGGCATCGCAAAACCCATGTATTTCGGGGGGATGTCTTGACAACGGCTTCACTTTCCTTGGAATAGATAAACATTTGAGATCCTGCAACTCGCGAATGAATGATTTCCACCTTCCTTGAATGTCAGGAGAAAGTTGCGTATCCCAATCTAATTTCATTGACCATATTTGCTGTAAAAACATTTTTCCTCTTAGTAAAACAGGGCATAAGAATCCAAGTGGGTCAAACACACGATTTAAATCCGATAGCAATGTCCTCTTTGTGCACTTGTTCAAAGACGGGTCCATAGAGATGTTAAAGTGGAACTGATCTGCTAACGGTTTCCAACCAAGCCCCAGAGACTTCACCGTATTTCCATCCTTAATTTCTAAAGTAAAAAGTGGATCGTCCTTAACCTTGTCTATATTCTCTAACACCCTCACAGAATTTGAACACCATTTTCGTAATTTGAGTTTGGCGGAAAGCAAAACATCACTTATTTGTTGTTGTAGCTTCAAACATTCCTCTTCTGTATCAGCCCCTGACATGAGGTCATAAATGTAGAAATCTCTCTTGATTATTCGAGCTGCATCAGGGTGTAACTCCTTTACATTTTCTGCCAAGGTTACTAGACACTGAGTTGCAAGAAATGAGGCAGATGTAGTCCCATAAGTCACGGTTGTGAGTCGAAATGTGCGCAAAGGATCACTGGGTCTGGCTCTCCACACAATGCGCTGAAGATCCCAGTCCGATTTTGAAACTGCTACCTGTCTAAACATTTTTTCGATATCTGATGTCAACACGTATTGATGCTTCCTGAATCTGGCTAATATGGAGAAGACATCCTCTTGGACATTTGGACCACACATCAACACATCATTGAGCGTGACACCCGTCGAACTCTTTGCAGACGCATCGAATACAACGCGGACCTTGGTGGTTAGACTTGATTCCTTTATCACGGCATGGTGAGGTAGATAGGACGATCGCTTGGGTATTTGGTCTTCATCAATTACCTCTTCCATGTGCCCAAGGTCAAGGTATTCCTCCATGAATCTGGTGTATTCCCTTTGAAGCTTCTCATCCCGCATTAGTCTCCTTTCTACACTTATGAAGCGAGTGGTTGCGAGTTTCAACGTGTCACCGAGCTCTTCTACTAAG